ATAAGAATCAGCTCCTTCAAATCTAAGACCATGTTCTTCAGTCGGAAAAGGGTACAATGCCTTCTCTGGGCCAGGGAGGAGGTTCTGCCTCAAGTGGAGAAGTTTAAGTATCTCAGGATCTTGTTCAGATGGTGTCACGGTTTTAGTTGATGTGGTAAAAGACGTGGGTTAACTTTTAGAGAGGGTATTAATCTCACTCTAGGATTAAAGGTTTCTCTTCTAAAGCTTCACCTCTTCCTTTCTAGTCAGCTTACTCATTCCACTTCCATCAGATCCTCTTTAATTTTAACTCGAAAGTCAGAGAAGTGATCGGCGCATTGCATTTAATGCATTTATTTTTGATCCAACAGGTGGCAACCCCTTGACTAAATAAATGTAATCAAGCAAAGCTTCAGCTCACAAGTCCTTTGCAACTGCATGAGTAACAATGACAAGGTTTATAAATAAAAGTGGGCACTGCCCTCTGGACTTACCACTCAGATCTGAGTCCAGGGAAAACTGTTGGCCAAGGGGAAATCTTCTCCACATCCTCCTGGTTCTGGACTCCACTCGTCTGTGGTCGAGGGTAACCTGCGATACAGATGCAAAGCCGGTAGACGAGTCACACCAGCTCCAGGCGATGCTGCTTTTACTCGTTACTCCTCCAGGGTCGGGGTCTCTAAAATGGTGGGTTTTTCTTATCCAGACTAAGACTCCCCTTTTGAGAAAGGAGTCTTAGTTCATGAGTAAATCTTGTGAATTACCTAGGTCAGAAGTAAAGAACCAGACACCATGTTCTCTTTTTGGGTTCAAATATAGGAAACCCTTTTAATGAATGAAAAGTTCAAAATGTAGTGAATTCACTCCAAGTAGATGAAGGTGAGTAAAAGTTTTCTGAGGTTGATGGAACAAGTTTTTTTATCTCCCTTATTCATCTGTAACTGTACCCCGTTGTGGATAATCAAGCTGAAGATCATAACGAGAAAAATCATCAAAAAGAATATAATAACCAAATGTTTTAGTTTGATTTTGTTGTTTTATGATTGATTTGGTTGATAATATGTAAAAAGCTTTTAAGTAAAATTAAAACCGTCAGTAATATGCGATATGCAAAGCAAAAACTATAAACCAGAAAACGTATAAAGTCAGTGAAATTGTAAAATGATTCTAATTAAAATGCAAATACCAAAATCTTTGAAGATTGAAGCATTTTGATGGAACAGTTGGAAAGCTGCAGGAGAAATTTGGTTAGTTTTAAAAATTCTTCTTTCCCTTTTGTTCCATTTCATATCTAGAACTCCTGTGAGTTCAAACTTTATTCATGAAATTGATGAAAACTATTACAGAACCTGAATTAGTAGGTCAGTGACCACAGCCTTGGATTCCATAGGAACCAGTATGGACCTCATTTCCTCTACTGCATCGGATAGAAGACCCTCAGTCCTGGACTCATTTATTGGTGCATTCTACACTCGTTGGTATTATTTTTCACAGCCGGTGCTTGTGTTCCAAGACGAAATCCAAAGCTTATACGATCTCTCTGGCTAAGAAAACCCTCTCTGCCTCTTTCTGCAGACTCTCATCTAGACGAGAGCCCCCGATTTGTCCCCAGTCATGAGTTTTATACCTTAATGTCGTCAGCTCCAGGTCATCACCAAAAGCTCCAATCACAATACGTGTTATACATTACTCATGCTTTGATCACACCTGTTCCTGTCTGTTTCTAGCTCAGCATCCTGAAGGTTAAAAACATTCCAAAAACCCTGTTTGTCATACAGGATACAAGCCCATGAGTTTTATTCATGTATTTATGCCATCATGGCTTCGATGGTCATGCCGGTCATTGGTGGATCTCTGATGTGGCCAAATAAATAAACATAAACCACCTCCATGAGGTCTCAGCTCCCCCCGACTTGCCCGCCTGCTCCTCCCTCAATCACACTCCACAGCAAACTCATTATTCTCCTTAGCTTTAGGTTTATACTAAGGTTGCTTTTCTTGAGCATTCAACATTATGACCTTTTTTTAGCCTGTGCCACATTCCTAGCTGAATTTCTTATCTAAATCTTTACACAAACTCCAGTTTCCATGTAAGGTTTGTGAGATGACATCAAGTCAGAAGCGCTTAGCAGGAGTTCTGAGAAGCTAAAACCATATCTTCTGTTGGATTCTGAGTTTGGCATTTATTAGATCCATGTCTTTTTTTGCCCAGGATACAGGAAACAAGCCCTACTTGTCACCGTCGTCTTCCTCCGCTTATCCGGGTCCGGGTCGCGGGGGCAGCATCCCAACTAGGGAGCTCCAGACCGTCCTCTCCCCAGCCACCTCCACCAGCTCCTCCGGCAGGACCTCAAGGCGTTCCCGGACCAGATTGGAGATGTAACCTCTCCAACGTGTCCTGGGTCGACCCGGGGGCCTCCTGCCGGCAGGACATGCCCGAAACACCTCCCCAGGGAGGCGTCCAGGAGGCATCCTGACCAGATGCCCAAACCATAAATATATATATATATATATATATATATATATATATATATATATATATATATATATATATATATATATATATATATATATATATATATACACATACATACACACACACACACACACACACATATATATATATATATATATATATATATATATATGTGTGTGTGTGTGTGTGTGTGTGTGTGTGTGTGTGTGTGTGTGTGTGTGTGTGTATGTATATAGTTACATACAAACATACATACACACACACACATATATATATATATATATATATATATATATATATATGTGTGTGTGTGTGTGTGTGTGTATGTATGTGTGTGTGTGTGTGTATGTATATAGTTACATACAAACATACATACACACACACACACACACATATATATATACAGTAAACTCCAGTTAATGTTCAGATTATAATGATACTTGTTTAGCACTCATTCATCTGTTCACACGCACATCACATAGTTGTGATGAGCTAGCCACAGGTGCCCTGGAGCACACTGACACAGGCATCATCGATCCCCCCGACCACCATAGGCAAGGAGGGTAAAGTGTTTTTCTCGCAGACACAACAGCACAATTCCCTGCAGGGAGCTGGGACTGATATGACTCCTCCAGAGCTCCTGCTGCCCTAATCATGATTACATAGCAGTTTGTCTGTGCTATAAAAAGTCCCCAAATCTGAAGAGGTACATAAAACAACATGGATCTCTTTTTATCCAGTTGAATTAGTGGTGCACAGAGTTGACAGTTGCAAGGCAGTGGTCTGGCTTGACTTTGATTGGATAAACAGATTGGATGAAAGTTTGTGAGTTTGACCTTTTCGCTGAAGGAAAGAGAGGAGAAAGCAGACTGTTCAAGCCTAACTTCCAACACGGATCCAAAACATGACAGTGATTATTGGCAGTAACCATAAAGACAAGGTCCAGGGTTCAAAATAGGAAAGACAAGTAAACCTAATCATATAAATACACTAAAATGAAGTGAAATCCACAAATAGCCCTAAGAATAAAAATCAGACAAAACTAAACCCACTTATTTATAATTTGGATCAAATGGGGCAAATACAAGCTTCCTGTTCAGTACAAGGAGCTTGTTTCCAATCTGTAATGAGAATTCATTTAAATCTTTTTAGTGACGATTTTTCACATATAAGCACAGATAAATCTAACTTCTTTCACAAGCTTTGCTAGAAACCTTTGGAGACTCTGACATGAAGGTGTGTTATTCTTGTTCTGCATGGTAGCACAGTCACTGTTCCCTTGCAGAAAGAATGTTGCTGGTTCAAAACCCAGCTGCTGCCTTTGTACAGTTCCCATCTTCTCACCATGCATGCATGGATTTGGGTAATTAGCCACGATTATTAGTCGCTGTGGATAAAAGCATCTACTAAATAAATAACCATTCTTACTCTTCTGAACCATTAGCAGGTGCTACCTTGAACCCCTTCCTCCATCCAAAGGCACACGAGATAGCAGTAGGTGTTCACCCCTCTGCACACATAAAGCTGGTTCTCCTTGATCCTGTTCTGGCCAAAATAATAAGTTTCTCAGCCAGGATGCTCCCAAGCTCAGATAGAGAAGTTGACCTAACAATAAATAAATATATAAATAATTAAACAGACAAAACTGTCTTTTGAGTTTTATTGCCGACTGAGCAAATTAGGAGCTGACATCATTTAGAAATCCAAATGGTTCAAATGAAGGCAACTGGACTTCTTTAGTTTCTTGAAGATGTTTTGCTTCTAATCCGAGGGAAGCATTTTCTGGTTGCAGACTCACCGTCGGGCATGGACATGGAAAACAAAGACCTCAGTTGAACCCACGTCCTCTTGAAGATGCCAGCAATGAGTATAATGTTTTTTGTTTTTTTAAACTAGGCTCTGTTTTATGGGCTGCTTCACTAAGGTCAGATAGTTGGCTCCTGGTTGGCCACATTTACCATGTGACTCTTTTAACATGTGTTATTCCAACACAACGGTAGTAGTAGAAAAATCAATCTTTTAATGTTTTAAAACATTGTAGTCCTAAGCTCAATATTTTAACCAATGTAAATGTTTTGGTGCTTAAGATATTTGTTGGTTGAAAGTTTTCAAACCAAATATTTTAGATCACATAAGCAAAGTGGGACAAGGTCCTCAAAGACCAAAGAAAACTTGAGAAACAAATCTTGGTAAAATACTAGGATTTAAAAGTCCCGGTTCATCCATGCCTCTGTGTATGAACTGTGCTATACAAATAAAGCTGCCCTGCCTTGCCTCGCCTTCCCAAGATTTGACCTAATTTTAGCAATTGTCAAAGGTGGAGAACAGTTTTTGTTGTTTGGTTTCAGGGACAGGTGGAGCAGTGGAGATCAATGTCTCTTTTCTCATCAACCGAGGCAATAAATATAATAAAAACTACAAAGGGCCAAAGATGGAACCTTGTGGGACACCGGATGTACGAAGAGCCATGCATCAAAATGGCTAACACTGAGTTCTGTAAAATCTGACAACATGCAATCAAATGGCAACACATATTGTCTTTAGGTGTGTGTAGAACAAAGTCTTTATTTCTTTAGTTTGAATACTTCAGACTTCTTCATAGATAGTTATCACCCACGTTCAACCGGACAGTGGTATGGTACATGGTAGTTTTGTAAACATGATCCAGGAGAGCCAGGGTTCATTTGTTCACAAGTATAAGTGACAAAGTAGCCCAAGGTTACACTGAAGTATATATAGATATATTTTTTGTCAACATAGTTCCTCTTTGGTATACATCTAACACCATGGTGTGACTGTGGACGGATACATTTAAGATACTTTACATTCACAACTTGCTATAAACAATTTGATAAATACAAGATTAGATGTAACAAAAGAATATATTTATATATTGATATATTTTCTCATATATTCCACATTTATTTATTTTTGCCTATTTATTTTTCTCGTGGCTTTATTCCTTTTTATTAAGGGTGTTCTATTATTCGAGGTTCAATTTCATCCCGAAAACGATTAAATAATGATAAAAAAAGAAACAAAATCTATAATAATTATATCACTTCTAAAGGAACTTGTTGGCACTTCAGTGGTGATGAAGACGATGACAAGTTACTGAGTTTTAAAGGAAAATATAAAAGTTGCTCCTATGAAGATGCAATCATAGTTTATGTACAGCACAGTGAAAAGAATGTTTAAAGTTTTCAGCCCTCCACTGTTCGTTCCACACACACACCAAAAAAAACAGGATGTTGAAAAAAAATAAATACAAAACACACACACACACACACACACACACTTAAGAAACTACACACTGTTGACTGATCAGCTTTTTCTCACCACCTCTTAAGGAATAGCCACTTAAGAGTTGTTAAGACTGAGCAAAAACAACAACTTCTGCTTCAGTATCATTTTTTCACTCTGCACCTTAAAAGATAACCAAGAACAAACCAACCTTCATGTTTCCTTTCGTTTACAGCGACGTTTCTGGTCTGATGTTTCTATTCCCTTTTTCTGGAGAACAATGTGACATTTTGTTAAATAACTTGACAATCTCTTGATGTGAAACAGGTCATTGCCAAGGAATTGCTATTCTAAATAATCATTTAAAAATCTTGATTTTGGTGGGTTCCTGAGTTAGATGAGTTTAGTCTTGTTTCTTTTTGGACAGACTGTAAAAAAAAAAAAGAAATGTCTCAATCATTAAGGCACTGAGAGAGATAAGCCGCTGTGCTAAACGAATAGAAAAACTTTAAAACACTAAACAGAGTTAGATATCACTAAATCCTATTTTTGTTTCTCCTGCAGAGTTAAACAGAAGGACTTGCATCATATCACAGATTATTTTTTATCTCTTCAGGACAGTCTTCAAAAACAATGAGTTCAGTTTTAATTAAACACATAAAAATATGTCGTGTTTGGGGGAGTAACAGCTAATTTTCTAATGTGTTGGCCCTCCCTTATAAATAGTTGTTGTAGGATTATTCAGGACGCTAACAGACATAATAAAAGTGCTTCGAGCCACTCAAGGCATTGTGTGATGAATCCACAGGGAGAAGGAACAAGCTTCTGAAGGGGCTGGAGTCTGCTGCTCTGCTTGTCTGGCCGGGTTCTGGTGGCGCACAGGAAGTCCAGATGATGGATGGCAGAGCTCTGAGCTTTAGGGTTCAGATGGCCAACCAGTGTCTGAGCTGGAAAAATACAATATAAAAATGAAAGTCTCATTAGTTTTGTGATCTAACATGTTTTGCCATGTTTCTTCCCGTTCCCTCATCATCTGTTAACATAATCACTGAATCTCGCATCTGTTTTAGTACAGAAGTTGATTACCTAAAAGCTCAAACCTGCATTGCATCTGTCTGATGCATACGCCTTAAAGACAAAGTTCACTAGTTTAGTCCTTTTTTCCTGGTATTCAGACATCTCTCTTCTGATTGGCTAACAGCAACACGACTCTACCACTGACTCAGTTGGCTCTGCAACGTGGATATTTTATCTTCACAAATAACACAAGCCTGGAAGAGTTCTGCTGTTTGGTGGAGTTGCTAATGCTAATGGTTAGCTTCTACTAGCCTAGCATGCTCTGCTGTTTCTTGGATGCTAAACCAACACCAGGTTTCACTGACATGAGCCAAGATGGGTAAATCCAAGTGTGTCAAGTGACAGTGGAGATATGGAGATTTTTCAAAAATTATTTTTAACTTTGTTTGTTAGTATGAAGTACATTTTTTGATCAATTAATAAAGAAAAAAAGTCCAATGGCGAATGCAGAAAACGGGAGTAGAAGACCAATTTCATGTTTAGTCTGCATGTTAAACTCATATTTTAAAAAAACATGTAAAACATGGTTTCTCATTAAACTTTGTCTTTGAGATTTTAGACAACTTTTAGGAGTATTAGCTAAAAAATTGGAAATGTAAAAAAAAAAAACCACATTTAAAAGCACAAAAGTTGCACCTACTTTAAACTGCCGCACATTTCCTTCAGCCACCAAATGGTGTTCATGTTCAGGTGTGATGCAGTAGGCTATTTTCTGTAAAACACATCATAAATACACTAATGCATGAATGAATTCATTGATTATCTACAAACCATTATCATGCAGTACAAATTTCAGTCTTTACAGACAAACCATTAAACATTTTAGATCTATGTTGATTTATCTTTTCTTTGTGGCCCTGAAGGATTAAAACAGCCTAGAACTAAGTTACAAGAAAAAAAGATGTAAATAAAGACCCATAATCAATCAAACATTAGGAACAACTGAAAAAATCCACCGGAAATCCCAATGAGATGTGGGAATTTTTGTCACCAGAAAGAAGACGACACAAATCAGCTGCTGAGGGATAAGACAAAGCTTTTGAATCATTTGATGATGGCGTTTGTGAACTCTGCTGTGAGGTGTTGCAATACAGTACACTACTTCAGCAAAAACAGACAAAATGTGTTTACTATGATCCGTTCATTACTGACCCTTCAGATTAAAGTTGGATTCACCTTGTGGTGTTCATATTAGGTTGTCTTACTTCTCTACATTCTGTAACACTTTCATACGGACCTCTTTCAACGTTCCTGGCACCGTGAGGAATTTATAGATGGCATAACAGGGAACAAACATCATGGAGGACAGGGCCACCATCCATCCCAGATGGTTGGACCAGTCGGGGAAGACGTAATCATTATACTTCAGACCTGACGATGTCAGAGTACTGGCTATTACCACGAACTGTGAGAAGAAGCAAAACAACAACAAAGAGAAGATGTAATGTGAATATTAGAATTACATGCTGGTGATGGTTAAACAGAACTTGCACTGTAAAAGCCTTCCACTGTGTGCTCTTGATAAAAATGCAATCTAATTTGTGTTGCTGCAGTCCAGTTGCCGTTATAAATGGGAGCCGCTGTAAAGACTGGACAGAAGTATCAAGTGATGCATGCACATGTTTTTCACCTGTTGTGAATTTAGACCTAATAAACAACAACTCCCAAGAAATGTACAGGAAGCTTCCGGACCCGAAACTGTCTCTCAGAGAAGGTTCGCTTTACTACATCGACATGTTCTATGAAGTTTAAAAACAAGTCATGCATATTTAATCTATATTTGTATTGATTACTGTAAACCATTTTACACAGATGTGCCACATCCTTACTACTTCCAGTAGGTCAGCGCGGCAGACGGCTGAGTAAAAAATAAATAAATACAATCCTTCTTTTTTTTTCCAGCCTTCACTAAATCATTGTTTCACTCCATATTGATTTCAATACTTCTACGTCTCAGAGAAGCAAACTGACACTCCCTCTTACTGTCAGCCTCAGAAATGTATAAGCGTCATTTTATTTATTATTTTTTTTATTTATGTTTGGTTGTTGAACTTTGTTGGAAAGTTGGGTAAATTTCAGTTAGAGGTGTTAGCTTTTTAATCCTCCATCACCTTTGGTTAAACAAACTGACTTCTTAGTTTTCTGTAAATATTGTAAACAAATCATTATAAATAGAAAATATTGGTGTTTGCTTGAGATCTGCGAAAAATGGGAGCCATCCTTCATGTTATGGCCTGCCCCCTCCTAGACAGGTCGTAACACCAGCCACTTGGGCCAGCTCCTACGAGAGAATCCCAAGGTATTCCCTGCCCAGTGGAGAGACAAAGTCCCTCCAGCGTGTCATGGGTCTTCTTTAGGTCTCTTCCCATTTGGACGTGCCTGGAAAATCTCTCTAAGGAGACTTCCAGGAGGCATCCTAATGAGATGCCTAAGCCACCTCAACTGGCTCCTCTCAATGTGGAGGAGTATCTACTCTGAGCTCCTCCCGGAGGACCGAGCTTCTCGCCCTACCTCTAAGGGAGAGCCCAGACACCCTGCAGAGAAAACTCATTTTAGCCACTTCTATCTGCTATCTCGTTCTCCTCTCCAGAACCCCTGAATAGACCTTACCAGGGATGCTCACGAGTGTGATTCCCTGTTTTCCAGGGGTAAGCAACCCTGGTCCTACAGAGCCGCAGTCCTGCTTGTTTTCCAACTATCTTTGTTGTTCCAGCTGTTGGTTATCTGGATCAGGTGTGTTCAGCCAATTAGAAGCTGCAAGTTCATGCATGGTTGGAAAACAGGCAGAACTGCAGCTCTTTAGGACCAGGGTTGCCTTACCCTGCTGTACTCGGCCGCCTCAACGATGGAAGAACAGAACATGAACCACTCAGACACAACGTCCCTCGTCTCCCTCAGATGTGTTTGAAATTCTCTGAGGTGGGAATTGAAGCTGCCAGATTTTCCAAGCAGTCTCTCACAATACATTTGGGTCTGCCAGTCTAATCATGCTACTATTCACTTCTATTTTGTTCATTTTGAGTTAAATTTACCATAAAAGATAATGAAATGCTATCTTTACCTCCGCAAACCTCCACGGGGAGGATGCAGACAGCCATTTGCACTATAATGGCCGCATGGCGGTCTGGACACAGCCCTGGATGAATGTGATCAGAGCCAATTGCTACCCCCAAGAAGCTCAACAGGAGGTGGGTACCAAACTGCCTCATCATCCATCTGGTTACTTGTTCATGCCTGGTTTCTGATTAATGAATCAACCTCTTTGGTTTCTGTTATATCAAACTGGCTGTTCATTCTCAGATTAATCCAAATAAAACTTTACTTTAAATCTTACGAGTGAGGCAGACAACAGCGTATCAAACAGGGTCTCATTTGCTCATCGGCAGTTACAAATCTTCCAAGACTGCATTAGTTTTTCCTTACCAACAGAAAAGCTGGACTGACAAATTTCCAGCACAGTCTCCAGTACAGTCCTGGCTTGAAGCCCATCATTCGCTCAATGTCTTCACTGAAGCGATCAACACCTGCAGAGAGCATGCCAAGTTCAATGGTTACAGTGGAGAGTGAAGTAACACATGATCCGTGTTCCATCACTAAAGGCCAAAGAAAGTTTTCCTGTTCCAAGAATTCTGTTTCACTGAACCAAAGGAGGGAATGCAGTTCCTGCTGGGCTTCCTCCATCGACTGATGAAAGCGTTCAGCTTCAACCACAAACTGAAAACTGGGACTTTGATGCTTTTGTTCTATCATCTCAACAAGATTTCATGCTGTTACTCATTTTGAACTTTACTTTTCTGCCTGCTATTGACATAGAAGCTATGAACACGTTTTTTTCTTCCTTTATTTTATAAAAACAATAAAACAAATAGTGTTGAATTACTTACCATAAAACCACGCCACTCCGATGGCCTCAATCAGAACAGCGAATAGTATCGCAGTCCCTGCTGCATATTTATCTAACAGGGTTACGACATACATCCCACCCTGCAGAGGAGGAAAGGAAAATAAAAGATGCTTGAAGATAAGCAGACTGGCTTACTCTGAAACCAAATGTGCCCTTAGCTCCTTAAGTGGAACTGACCATAGATACTCTGAGTATAATTAAAGTAAGTACTGCAACTTTATCAGGAACATTTAATGCAAAATGATTCATTCTCTCTCTTAAAACCTTTAAAGATAAAATTTGAAGAATAGATTAATTGAAATAAACCTTTGGGGTTTGAACGTTTGTGTCTCGGTCAGCTTCTATGGTGTTCATGCTTCCATGTGAGTAGAAATGCACTTGAATTAACTAACTGTTGGCTTCCTGAAAATAGATTAATTTGAACTCTATCTTCTCATCAGAGCTCCTCTGATGATTGATCCGTTTCTTCTTCTGGCTCTTGGAGAGTACAGATGCTTTTTTTCTCCCCTCCCTCCCTTCTCCTCCCAAGGCTCTCTGTCCTGTCTGCCTGTGCACTGCTCTTCTCTGCATTTGTTCTGGAAACTGGAAATTATTAAACATGGATCTGGTCAGTTGGTCTCTTAACGTGATTGACCAAATCTTTTCTATGATGAGAACGGGAGAAGGGGCTCCCGGATGCCCCTCTGGGAAAGAGCCAGCTGGGCATATCATGGACTCCTGGAAACTGCTGATCTGCCTCTCTCAACTGTCTGTGGAGGATTCTGAAGATGTCTGGATATTTGTCATTTTGGTGTCGGGATTCCTGCTGTTTGGACTGAGCGGTTATCTGGCATACCAGAAAATTAATGAGCTTTCGAGGAATATTGGCTCAATCCCGAAGCTCAGGGATGGAATGCATCGGGTGTAAACTCACAAACTCATATAATTGTCGAGATGAGTCGTAAGCTTGGAACTTTGGCTGAGATTCAGGCTCTGGCACAGAAGGTGGATTCCATCAAGGAGAAAGTTGACGGATCAGCACGGATTGGAATAGTTTGATTACGCCATTATTGGACCTGGAGGGGTTGAAGACCAACAGAACTCTAAGCCAGAGAGGAAATTATCTCTGCCTGCACCCAATTCTTGCTATCTGAATCTGGTGCCCTTGAAGCCTGTGAGGCTGAAGTGAAAACTCCCCTCAGAAGAAATGTGGAATGCTGCTGTAGCTATGGAAACTCTTTCTCCCTATCCCAGCCTGGGCGGGACAGTGACCGGTGAAGGCCGTGGAACCGTCTCAAGGATTCAATGTGCTCTCTAACCCATTATCTCCCTCCCCTGTCCAAACGGAGGTGATGAGCGCTGCTTTTGCGGCTGCACACTCTGAAGTGAGGAGAGTCCCAACCCTACCGCCCCACCTGGTGGACACTTATGTATCGTGTGAAGTCTGTGTGCACATCTGTCTGAGGTGTTTTTTTGCATAGCAAAGCTATCCTCTCTGTTGAGGGTAGCTCTGAAGTGCCTTTTTTCCCCTCCCCTGACTCAATCCTCATATAAACCCTCTTGATCTATAACGGTAGCGTGACTCGTGTTGCGAATGACCACAGTCACCAATTCTTGTCATGTGTTTATGTATATATGTCTGATCTTGGAATTGTGTGTATTGAAACAATTGAATTTGCATGGTGGCGCAGTGGTTAGCACTGCTGCCTCGCAGCATGAAGGTCGCAGGTTCAAAACTCGGCTGCGGCCTTTCTGCGTGGAGTTGCGTGTTCTCCCCATGCATGCGTGGGTTTCCTCCGGGAACTCCGGTTTCCCCCACAGATCACAACATGCCCTACAGGTTATAAATTGTAAGTCGCTTTGGATAAAAGCGTCTGCTAAATAAATAAACATACACATGACTTTCCCTCTGGGATTAATAAAGTATTTTTCAATTTGAATTGAATTGAATTAATATTTCGTTAGCTGTTTTTCTGTGACGACAGCACATCATGAGTTTCGGGTTGAGAGCAGTTTAAACCTCTAGCTTATCACCGGCCTGCTGAACTTGAAATATTTATCTAATCAGATACTGAAAATCTTATTAGCTTCTTTTTTGTTGATAAAAATCAGTTAAATGAATAAGCATTGCAACAGTGACAGCTGATACTGACATTAGTGACGCAGAGCAGGCAGATGAAAAATGTTCCAAAAGCTATGATGAAGGTGAAGGTCTTTCTGTTCCTCTTGAGGATCTTATAGTCATCCGACAGGCCTGTGATGACGGCCTCCATGCCCCCCATCTGCAGAACAAGTGGACATTAAAATATGGTAAATGGCCTGTATTTGCCTTCTAAAGTCCTGGAACCCCCCAAGGCGCTTTACAACACAATCAGTCATTCACCCATTCACACACACATTCACACACTGGTGGGGATGAGCTACAATGTAGCCACAGCTGCCCAGGGGCGCACTGACAGAGGCAAGGCTGCCGAGCTCTGGCGCCACCGGTCCCTCCGACCACCACCAGCAGGCAAGGCGGGTTAAGTGTATTGCCCAAGGACACAACGACAGCGACAAACTGAGCGGGGCTCGAACCTGCAACCTTCCGATTACGGGGCGAGCACTTAACTCCTGTGCCACCGTCGCCCCAATATGGAATTTCTTTGTTCTGAAAGTGTTAACTTGGTTAGGTCCAGCTGCCCGTTTTGTGCATAAGAAATAGCTGGAGAGGGGCTTCTGGGTTTCAAAGATGTTTGTTTATTCATCGGGATACCTGAAACTAACAACTCTGTCGAGTCAGCTGATGGATTTATTATTATAGCTTGTGATAGATGAAGCATGTTAAGTATCTCCAGCAATCATTTGTTGATCACCAGTCCACCAAGACCACATAGAAACACAATATCCTTCATGCTAAAATCCACAATTAATTTAGAGTTGAAGTTTACCCAAAATGCATCTTCTTGGACTATGAGAGGAAATTCTAGAGGACATGCAGCAACATGCAGCCAGCAGTCAGGACCTTCATGAAGACGACAATCTTTTCTACAGCGCCTCTCAAGATAAAAATCACGAGACGCTTCAAAACCAAAAAATAAAGTATAAAAAAATTTCTAAAATGATTAAAATATGTTTCAAAGGAGAGGAAAAAAAACTGTAAGGAAAGGAAGAGAGAAAATGACTAGGAAAGAGGGAAATCAGTGGATCCCAGGAAAGACGGGATTAGAGCAGAGCAAGGAGAGGGAGGTGATGGAATCCCACCAAAGCCTGAACAGGTGAGTTTAAAGGAGACCACTGAGTCCACTGATCTCAGGCTCAGGGGGAGAGAGGTCCAGAGTCTGGGGGCCACAGCAGCAGATGATCTGTCACCTTTGACCTTTAGCCTGGTGCTGCACAACCAGTAGGCTTTGGTCACTGGACCTCAGGGACCTGCTGGGGGTGTAGGGACTGAGAAGGCATCAGTGCTAAGCTGCTGAACCACCATGCAGCCATTTTTATAATGCAATACCATGTTTGTGTAAGGCAAAGGTAAACCTTATAATATAGTTTATGTGATAATGACAAACAATGCTAAACCTCACAGGAAAACATGAGGTGAGCTAAACCCGTCACCGACTACGGATCATGGTTTAAAGCACTGACATTACATCCGTTAAAATCATATTATCTAAAAGTCAAACAAAATAAATGTTGGAGTTGGAGCTACAACAGTCTTCCTTTATTTTGTCATTTATTTATACATTATTGCTAATCTCATTCTTATTTTCACAGAGACCCGTTCCAACACATAAAGCAACGTCGTAAAAAAAAAACCTAAGGAAGGATGTAATGCTTCATTCTCATGTGAGCTATTCATGCCAGTCCAAACATTTCTGCCACTCACAAATGAACATATTTATAAATTAAGTTTCAGCAGAGGCCACGTGCCAGGTCAACACCCTCATCAATAGTCAAGCATCTTTAGCAGCTTTGGTTTGATGTGATGCGTTTTTCTGTTATCTGTTATCATATTTACCCTGGCAAAAATGAAGAATTAAGAAAATGTCATTATTCCTAGGTGTCATAGTACTTTAGGTCACAGGTTTGTAATTTATCATGAAAATAGGCTAAATGTATTACCAGACATCAAAAGCCGTCAGCTGATAAAACTGATAAATGAGTGATTATTTTTTCATATCTCAACAACACAATTCAGATTGGGTATGGATTCGTTTTGATGCGTTTCATTCCGGCACACACATCTAGACACGATCTATGAATCATTTTTATGCACCAACAATTCAGTTTGGCCCAGTTATAATCACATCTTGAAATGAAATATACTCATACTTAATACTGGCTGTACATATTTATCAGGTTGTTAGAAGAAAACGAAGTATTGTGTGTGAATGGGTGAATGATACACTGTAGTATAAAGCGCTTTGGAGTCCTCTGACTCTAAAAAGCATTACACACGTGCGGGTCGTTTATCATTATTATGGGCCTGGAGCAACGGTTTGTTGTGGTACAACAACTGGACTACGAAGGACGGGCGATGAAGCTCGAACACATTAGAAATGTTAATGTATGAAACAGTGTCTTGATTTTTCCAAAAACTAAGTGAATTCAGTCATTTTAGCTAAACTGATTGAATCCAAATGCTCTGGAAAATGTCTTTTGGTTTTTATGCTTTTTGATGTGAAGTTAAAACAGTTTTTTGGGACATGCTTTGAACACAAGAAGAAATAACGTAGCAGCATTATGCATATGTATTCAGCCTCAGATTCAAGATTAAACCTTTGCAGCTGCAAGTCTGTTCTGGGAAGTTTAAGTGAGGCAAATCAGGCCAATCCTTTCTGATCGTTCCTCACAAGGAAACAGTTTAGTCTCCAGTCAGATCGCAGCCGTTTGTTTGGAGCTACAGTCATACTGAAAACGGCCATGGTTCCCCTTTATTTCTCCTGCAGGGGAAAAAACTTCCTGTGGTTTTTAAAAGAAATGTCAACCCTGCTTTCATTGGAGCACTAGAATAGAATCGTCTTTGTTTTTGGGCTCTTACTCGTGAGAAGTGTATGTCTCGTGTAGCGTTCAGGATTGACTACACATGAAATGAATGAGCTTTATTTGATTTAGTGCCTTCTAGAGTCCTGGAACCCCCCAAGGCGCTTTACAACACAATCAGTCATTCACCCATTTACACACACATTCACACACTGGTGGTGATGAGCTACATTGTAGCCCCAGCTGCTCTGGGGCGCACTGACAGAGGCGAGGCTGCCGAGCACTGGATGAAATTTTGTTAAAGAGAATGAGGACAGTGTGATATTATTATTATTATTATTAATGTTATTATTATTAATGTTATTGTGGAAAATATACATATAATTTGTTTTTATTAGAAATATTATCTTTAATATTGTAATAATTGGATCGGTAACAGATGCAGTGCATCTCAGATTCACATTAAATATGTACATTTGAGTTTGTTGCTGAGTACGATAAAGGGTTAGGGTTAGTCCAAAGAGGAAACGTGGGTCCCCCTTCTTAAGGGCTTACCACTCGTTGGAGGGGCCAAAGGGGTAGGGTGGAGTGTGTGACGGGTGGTAGTCGAGGGCGGGGACCTTGGCGGTCTGATCCTCGGCTACAGAAGCTGGCTCTTGGCACATGGAATGTCACCTCTCTTGTGGGGAAGGAGCCTGAGTTGGTGTGTGAGGTTGAGAGGTTCTGACTAGATATAGTCGGACTCACCTCAACGCATGGCTCTGGCTCTGGAACCAGTTTCCTTGAGAGGGGTTGGACTTTCTACCACTCTGGAGTTGCTCCCACTGAGAGGCGCCGAGCAGGGGTGGGCATACTAGTTGCCCCCATCTTGGTGCCTGTACGTTGAGGTTTACCCCAGTGAACGAGAGGGTAGCCTCCCTCCGCTACGTGTGGGGGGACGGGTTCTGACTGTGGTCTGTGCTTATGCACCAAACTACAGTTCAGACTACCCACCCTTTAAGGAGACCTTGGAGGGGGTGCTGGAGGGCGCTCCTTCCGGTGACTCCCTCGTTCTGCTGGGGGACTTTAACGCTCACGTGAGCAACGGCAGTGTAGCTCACCACCACCAGGGTGTGAATGACTGATTGTGCTGTAAAGCGCCTTGGGGGGTTCTAAGACTCTAGAAGGTGCTATATAAATACAGGCCAATTACCATTTATGGTCAAATAAACAAAACAAAAAAAGAAAAAAAAACTGAACTCAGCTGGAACGTTGATGTTGTGAAGTGCCTTGAGATGACTCGTTGTGAATTGGCGTTTTATAAATAAACGGAATTGAATTGTGCTGTGTCATTTAACTGTTTGGTCAAACACGTTAGTGGGGCTGCAGCTGGATAAGAAACTTGAGCGGATGCCCGTCTCCTGTCTCCTGCCCAAGACGAGTTGCTTAAACAGGCGGCTGGCTGTTCCCGTCTCCCGAGGCAGCCGACACGCGGACCGGCTCCGATGCCAGGCTGTAGTCATGCTGGTCATTAGTGGATTTCTGAGGGAGATCACAGAAACACTGCAGCTTTTTTACTTGATGCTGCTTTACTTTTGAGTCGCTCGACCACATTTAGAATAGAATAGAAAAACTTTGTCTGACACCAAGTGGTTACAGAAATGTGTCTTTCAACAGGGCTCATCGTCATCCACCTCATCATTCACACTTTCATAGACAGGAAATACAATTAAAAAATTCATAAAAACAACTAAAAACACAGATATAAGCTTGAAAGCCATGAAACCAAAGACACAACTATGTGCCTAAAACACATCAAATAATTTACGGGTTTTTGAAGTTCTGTGTCTGTTCTGGGCAGATTGCTGATGGGATGAATGATTTCTTATGGACTGCTGTTTTGGACGGTGGGATTCTGTATCTCCTACCTGGTGGGAGAAGACTGGAGGAATGGTGGAGGGGATGAGGAGGTTCCTCTGTGATCAGTGTGGCTTTCCTGATCACAGAGCGCTCGTACAGAAGGGAAAGAGGGTTTGTGGTGAGCCCATTATTTTGCCTGCTTGATGTGTGATCCGTTGCAGTTTATTTTTGTGCTTACAAGTGAGAAACTTGAACCAGGATGTGAAGTTAAACATTAAAATGGATTATATGATTGATGGTAGACCATAGTTATGATGTTTATCCTGACATTAAAATCCCTTAATTTCCTGATGAGATGGAGGCGCTGGAGGGCTTTATTGTGAATGGAGTCTGAGTGTTGTTGAAAGGACAGATGAGCATCTATCTGAGCCCCCAAATATTTAAAACTCGCCACCTGTTCAACCTGCTCTCCCTGAATGATCACCGGTTTAAAGAGCTGAGAAGCAGTGGCTCTGTCTGCCTGCACAGCACAACTCTGGTGTTTGTGAGATGTAGAGTTCCAGTGATTTTTTCTTAAAAGTTGTGATCAGGTCATCTACTACAGGTTGGTACTGAACCAGAGCCTCCACACAGGCGTTCTCACTGTTAGTTTGCTGGTTGAATGGAGGGAATTTCTATATGTTTACCATTACACTGCTTGGTCTAAGATGGGTTGAAATCAGTTGAAATATAACTTGTGGGTGTGGCTGCTGGGTATCTAACCGAAGATAGGGCTTTGCTGGTCCACCGCGGTGAAAGATCCTCCGGTCAGGAGCGCGACACGAAACCGTGAGCTGAATCCCAGAGCCTTGTGCGTTGACACCGGTGGACTAAGCGAAACCCGATATCCTCGGTCAGCTTAACTATTTTGTAACTGAGCAGGCCGGAGGTGCCTTCCCGTCCGAGTCCCTCTACCACATCTTTCTTGTTATAAACACCCGGAAAAACTCTGTAAGCTTTGGGTTCGCATATAGCTAATGTCCTGCTGATCTCCAACTGTGGAGAATGAGCTGATCTGAAGGGCCAGAGCTCCCGTCACAGCGGTCTGGCTCTGCTTGTAGTTGAAAAGTCCCAGTCCATACTATTGGGCCATTCCCATCCATACCGGGTCGGCCCGGGCCGGGTAGCGTAGGTTGTTTACATATCTGGGTGGCCTGGTATTTTTCCGGGCCAACCAAGGCTCATTCTCAGCCCTCTTCTCGAGGGGGTCTGCTTCAGGCCGACCAGGGCCAACACACCCACTGCTGACAGCAAATTCACACCTTCCATTAGAGCAAGCCTCTGATTGGTGGGTAGAATCAGCCCACATGGGCTTAAGACAAGGATGTGTGGAATCAACCGGGCCAGACTGGGGCTACTCGGCCCGGGCCGACCCGGTAAAGATGGGAATGGCCCATAAGATCTCCACAGGCAACCAGTATGACTACCGCCTTGCACTGAAGCCAGTCAGCAGTGCGGGTGGGCTACCCCGCGGTCCCCGGTGGTGTCATTTGGAATCCTAGGATGTCCAAGGAAGGTCCCGCCTTTCTCGCCTCTGATTCGCTGGAAGGGCTCTCCCACGTTTGGCTATTTCATGTAAGAGGAAACAGTTTTCCCTCGCTGTAGGGTTTTTGTTTACAGCGAGATTTTGAGTTTTTTGAAGAAAATGTGAACTCATCACTATAATAAACATCCTTTCCTGTTTTGCAACAAACCAGGTTCAGTATCTTTCATAAAAGAACATAAAAACATCAAATGTGAACTTGTAATAAATCTTGTTTATTTTATCACACTGACTTTATATCTGCTGGCTCTATTGAGGTTATCTTATTACTTAATTATTAGGCTATCCTAGGTATTCACTTTAATAGGTTAAGGCCTTTTACACGTTAGAGCGCACCTCTCATCATCAGATTAAATCTGTATCATTTAAATAAAAATTAAGTTAAAGCTGGTTTTGATTTAGACCTATTTTTCACCAGTTTTCATTATTCTAGAAAAAAAACAGACCTGATGCACACAGCTGGGCAGAATAGGGCAGTTTTATTATATTTCATACCCAGGTATGGCACATATGTTTATCCTATGTACACTAATTGAGAGCCAAGAGATATAAAGTAAGTCCAACTGTTTGATGAATGTAACAAGATTATAAATTCACATTTTATGTTTTTCAGTTTTTTTATGAAACATAAAATATTTAGCAAAAGCGGACAGAAGGGTATCCCGCCTGCATTCCCGGAGACAGCTGGAGATAGACACCAGCCCTCCGCGACCCTGCGAGGATAAGTGGGTACAGAAAATGGATGAATGGATGGAGGACAGAATGGTTATTGTAGGGCTAAGTTCACATTTTCTTTACAAAACTGCCCAAAACTGCATTCTGCTGGTGTCTAGCTCAAAGATGTTACACAGAATGTTCTTGAAAATAACTTGAATTACAGATAAGTGTTGGACGTCTTGCTTTTGGATTCATCCAGTGTGATGATTACAGCTGTGGAGATGCTTTTTTTAAAATAATACAGTTTTATCTCACCTACTCAGTTACCACAGTTCATATGAAACAGGTTTTCACTTCTGCGAGGTATTTGTTGAATCTTACCCCCCTGTTGTTTTGTTTTTGAATCCAAAGAATGTACAGCTAAATTCTTCATTTTGCAAGTAATGTACTTTATAGGTCGTACCTTGAGCTGTATCTAATTTTATGGTTCCAACTGGATGCAAACGGGAGGAAATAACACAATAAGTTTTAATTTTTGGAGATGTGTAATGTACTCAGGTCATTCATAAATTTGTTATCATTAGTATTTCATAAATCAGACTTTGCATGTTAGTTAACCCCTGTTTCCTAAAGTGTTGTTGATTTGTCTTTTAATGTCTTGTAATATTGTTTATTAGTGTCCTGATACTCATAATCACCACCACCATTCTCTACTTTTGACTACTTTGATGTTACTTTCATAATACGTTCTTATAAAACAGTAAGTGAATGTAACAAACCATTTGATGGCATTGTTAAAATAAAAATAAATAACATGCCCACACTTTAATGGCTGTTTTCCTGTAACCACAATGTCTTTTTCTTTACTTTTGGTCTCATTATAAAAGGAATTCTTGTGGGATTTGTTCAGATGTGTGAATATTAGAATACGTGTTGCTGATGAAGTGTAAATGGACAAGGAACATTGTAAAAAAGTTGATTATTTTTCTTTTGATAATTTTGCCTGAAATGTTTGATTTCAGGATGAATACCTCTTTGGAAAAATGCATCAGTAGTTTTAAATTTCACTGAATTCACAATTTTACATCTTGACATTAGCTGTACAAAGTCTGAGTTTGATAAAGTGAAGAACAATAATTTTCAGAGGTTTATAATATATGCACACTTAAGGCGAGGTTTCAAATGCCACAGTGTGCCACTTGTAAAAGGAATAATTGAACGCTCCTTCTGCGGAATAGTTTTTGTTGTCCACCTTTAAAATCAGCTTTGTTAACATTCAGTGACAAATAAAGTTTGTCGAAACCGCCCCGCCTCTACCCGAGTACACCTGTGCGCTGGTGGACTGTGCTGGAACTACACTTTATTCAGGAGAGTCTCTCCGGACCCCGCCGTTAGATTATTGAAGCCGTTCAAGCCAATAGAATTGCTTGCTTTTGATTTTTTTAGGCTATTTTTTGGGGATTTGGCGTCGGATGGATGCAAGCTAAAACAGCCACGAATCAGCTTTGTGTGATGTTGTGAAGATGGATTACACAAAGGGATTGGATTGTTTTCACTAGAACATGGATTATGACCATGAATCAACAAAGGTAAGACTGAATTTATGCTTTTCACGTCATGAAATGAGCTGTGGTTTGTTAGCTGCTGGCTCTGTGAATTCTGCACGTAGAGTGCATGAATATTGTTGGAAAGAGAAGAGCCTGGGCTTTAATTCAAACGGAGGATTCTGTGGATAGGATATTGGATTGTCGCTACTGTGTGTTCCTCTAAATGCGTATTTAGTGTCTTTTTACGTCTTTTTGATTTAACAGCTTACTGTTGAATTGGGTGATGTTGATGGAGAAAACTTGGGTTCTGTTGTTTGGAAGATTAGTTCTTCCCGTTCTGCATGTGTGCAGTTTATACATTGGTGAATATTAAGCATGTTTTTGGAAGGACTTTGTTTCAGTGAATTATGCGCGGACCTGTTACTGGATTGAGGTTGAGTTTCAATTTACAACTGATAGGGATGGGTACCGAATTCGGTACTTTTTAAGGTATCGACCGAATTCCATAGTACCGACTGAGCACCGATTCACGTCATTTCAAACGGCGCCTCGTTTCGGTACCCGTCCTTCATAACAAGAACTTGCCAAGACAGCTGCGCATGCGCAAGAGCGTTTTGTCATCGCTCGCTGCGAGCCAGTTGTAAACAGAGCAGCATGGTAGAAAGAACGCACGCTAAAGCTTGGGTCCACTTCACTAAATGTGATGGGTAACTGGGTGATGATGAAACCAGCGACAACGATCTAAGTGAGACATCCTCATCTTAATCTGCTCCGGTAGGTAAATATAATTAGCTTGATATGTTAGCTTCCGTTTCGCTAATGGTGCGTTCGCTTTCTCCTCGGAACTCCGAATTTCTGACTAGAAGAAGAACATGAACGAGCTCTAAAGTTTGGCTTCACTTTACTAAATGCGACGGGTGATTGGGTGAAGATGAAACCAGCGACAACGATCTAAGTGTGAGGCATCATCGTTTTAATCTGCTCCAGCAGCTAAATAAACCGTTTAAGATAACGTTAGCTTGATATCTTAGCTTCCATTGCTACCGTTGTTATCAGCTAATGGTGCGTTCGCTTTCTCCTCGGAAATTCTAACTTCCCAGTAGGAAAAATCAAATGAAAAAAGACGGCAAAAGGAATGAAGATACACAGTAAATTTAGTTCACAGTCAAGATGTTTGCTTCAGTTTAATTATCAGCTTATAAAACTACAAGGACGATGTTAAAATACAAACAGTTGTATGTTATTTATCGTGATATTTATCAAGTATTGTTATGTATTGAGAAAAATATATATTTAATTATAAAAGAGAATTAAAATAATAAACACTCAAAAGTATCTAAAATTGGTACCGTTACGTACCGGTATCGATTCGTAGGTACCGGGAATTAGTACTGAATCGATTCAAATGTCAAAGGTACCCATCCCTAACAACTGATGACATCCACAGACAACATCCCCCACACTTTTGAAAAGCTTTCAACGCGCCTGGGTTAATCATCGTAGTTCTGGTACTCACAGAGCTGTCGAGGCCCAAAGTTACCAACATGATGAAGAACACAATCGCCCAAAATGTTGATCCAGGTAGTGTAGAAATGGCCTCTGGATAGATGATGAACACCAAACCTGGACCTAAATGAAAAACAAGTCACTTTTATTATTCAATTAAATTCAATTCAAAAATACTTTATTAATCCCAGACGGAAAGTGATATCAACACAAAGCAGGCTGACCAACCAAAACAATTCATTCAAACTAATATGACAGCATCCCACAGTCTGAGTCTAAGCTAAACATGTTTGCATGAGAAATTTTTACCATCTGTTGCAACATCTTTAATATCCACCCCACGTTTTTCAGCCATGTATCCGAGCACAGAGAAGATGGCAAACCCTGAGAAGAAACTGGTGACGCAGTTCACAGTGCTGGTCAAGATAGCATCCCTAAATAAGGAAAAGATGAAAAATAGGAAGTTATTAAATAATGCATTAATATAGAAGTGTTTCATAACTTAGCATCCCTTTTTTAAAAGAACGAAGAAGAATTATTTTTATACAGTAACTCTCTAAATAAATATCATGAGGTGCTTCACAAAAACAAAATATAAAAATAAATTATTAAAAATATATTTAAAAAATAAGGAAAAATACGATAAAAGTGACTAAGAAAAAGGGTAATCACGGGTTGCTGAGAAAGACAGAATTGGCAGACGCTAGTGAAGAAGAGTCAACAGAAAGTCACACCAAAGCCTGAACAGGTGAGCTTTCAGCAGCTTCTTAAAGGAGACCACTGAGTCCACTGATCTCAGGCTCAGGAGTCGCGTTGACCTCGACCACCTCCTGGCTTTAGAACGCAGAAACCTCTCAATGAACTATTTCCTTCCATTTGACTTCCCCTCTTCTTTCCTTTTGTTCCTATTGAGTGTGGGCTGTGGACATGTTTCAGACATCTTCATTAAAAAGAAACTGCTGTTCTTGCAGAGTACAGGCCAGACTTCTACCCTTGATGTCAGCATTCAAACACAATCCTGTTTTCTCTACTTGCTTTCCTGATGTTGGTTTTTCTCCTTCACACTGCAGCCTTTTTGTCAAGTTCAAATTAGTATATTTGTAAAAATAAAACTTAAAAATGTCACAAACACTTCTTTTGTCATCAGAAAATGTTTTAAATAGAACATGAAAGAAGAAGAGGCCCATTCTAGGGTTGAAATGGGTCGAGGAAATGAGACAAGACAAGTAGAGAATGCTTCCATAAAACTCAAACCACAGAGAGGAACATTAGTTATGCTGCTGAGGCACTATGGTGACACTTTATCCAACACCCATTGGTAATAAACAATACATCCAGTTTACTGTAGGGTTTAAATCATCTGAACGAAAACTTTTCAAGAATCTGTCTTTTGTTTTTGTTTTTTCTGGACAAAAACATCTGATTTTATCAACTCCACCACATCATGAAAGAAAAGTTCACAACCTTTCCTTTTTTTCTTTTTTTTTTTTTAAGAAATAGCAGCTCTAAGACAAAGCAAAACAATCATGTTGCTTTTGGCTATTACATGGCAACCCTCCCTGGCCGGTCCTTCATCTGTCCTCCAAACACCCCAGTAAGATAGACAGATTAGCATCACTTCTCCTGTGTTATCCAGTTACATTATGGAAAAGACGGGCTGCTTTGAACAATCAGGATGTTGCTGTGGGCTCGTTTTGCATCCCACTCTAAACCCCTTACCTGTAGCAGTTGTTGTTAAACTTGTTATAGCTGGAAAATGCAATGAGCACTCCAAATCCAGCTCCCAAAGAGTAGAATATTTGGGTGGCAGCATCAGTCCACACCTAAAGGTGGACAAAAGAATTTTCATCTTTACAGCAAGTAGGCCAATCCATGTGAAATTTGCTTCTGTATAAATATTAGAATGGTCAAAGAATTTCAAACCACATTTGCGTTGCTGTTGAAGAAAGGCAGCTTGGGCTGCACCAAAATGTCTGCCATCGCTGACCTGCTCTCTTGTGTAAATTAGTAATAATGTAATGGCCACTGAGGAACTGTTTATTCTGGGAAAAGCTGGTTTTGATGTTCATGACACATCTTGAACTTAAACACCCCTAAACTGGCATTTTCAATGTCAGCAGTTTATATTTGTTGGTGGCAGTAATGCTCATTGCTTAACCCCCAGAGACCCACGGTTGTAATATTACAACATCAGATTTAAATCTACAAAAATAAACCTTCCCCATTTTTTTTCTTTTTAAAACCACATTTACATTGCTAATAGGTACTATTGTTCAGTTCTGCAACACTATTTGGCTGTTAAAATGTGTAAATAGGCCCGTTTATCTGGCCTCCTAGAACAACATGTGAAAGGTTAAAAAAAGATTTTGCAGTTGTTTTCTAAACAACGCAAGCACACGCTACAGCTAACCTGAGTTATTGCTAATGCTAGCAAGGATGGCTGCTAGTGCTAGCCCAAGCTACTGCTACTGCTAACCTGAGCTATTGCTAATGCTAGCAAGGATGGCTGCTAGTGCTAGCCCAAGCTACTGCTACTGCTAACCTGAGCTATTGCTAATGCTAGCAAAGATGGCTGCTAGTGCTAGCCCTAGCTACTGCTAATGTCCATGTTGGATATGAGGAAAACAGGAATGTTGGGAGCACACATGTAACTTTCCAGGATGTTCTGGGAATGAAATGTCTTTGAATGAATGCCTGATGAGTCCATAGCTTACCTACTGAGTAATTCAGATACTATACGAGGTTCTACAGAAAATCTATAGCTTCAGTCCACGTCACAGAGCCATTTGGGTGAACTGGTCAGTCAGCACATAGCCCATTTAATATTCAGGTCCTGGCTGCGTGGGTGGGGAATAGGGTTGTCACGGTGTGAAAATTTAACCTCACGGTTATTGTGACGAAAATTATCAGGGTTTTCGGTATTATCACGATATATTTTTTAAACGTGTTACATTTTCAGACAACTAAATAAACCCTGTATATCAGGAAAATAATGTCCTCAGTTTGTGTCTAAATTTTGCCTAAAATGTGTTATTTTGTAATTATGTTGTTTATTTGTTTACATTTTTCTCCTTTAGTCTTTAAAGTACCAATATTTGCCCATAACTTCTTATTTTTTGTCTGTTTGATGTCATCATTTTAAAAATATTAGACCAGATACTCAGTACTCAAGTAGCCTTCTAATCAGATACTTTTTTACCCTTACTTGAGTAATAAACCCTATATCAGGAAAATATTGTCCTCGGTTTGTGGCCTTCCAGTGAGCTTTGCAGATGTGGGAAAATGTCATCAGGCAGTAATCGTTGTTAAATTCATAATTATTTTCTTTTCTCTTCTGGCACTCACAGAGCACGGTCGCGTCTGCTTTGCTCCCTTATCTGCTTTTTCCCAAGGCTCTTTTTGTCCCGTCTGCCTACAGAGCGCTTCTCTGCATTTCCTCTGGAAATCACTATTTTTCAGAAATGGATTTAATTAATTGGTCATTCAACACGATTGATAAGATTTTTTCTACGATGAGAACGGAGGAGGGGGCTTGCGTTTGTCCTCACGGGACACGTGCAGCGGGATATATGCTCGATTCCTGGAAGAAGTGGAATGTCATCTGTCTCTCTCAGCTGTCCATTGAGGACGTCGAAGATGTGTGGATATTTCGCCTGGATTTCTTCTGATTGGAGTGGGAGGATATCTGGTTTTCCATAAAATTGGGATGACGGGAGCGATTGGAGGGCGACCCGCATCCATGGACGGCACCGTCCGGGCGGAGACCTCACAGACTGGGACGTTACTCGAGGTGAATCGCAAGCTGGACAATGTCTTAGCTGCGTTACCGGTGTTAGTGCGCAAATTGGATGTCATCTCGGAGAGGGTCACCGGACGGTGTGGAGATGTTTAATCACCGAATTGGCTTCACTGGAGGATTTGAATGATCGATACAGACTTTAAGGCAGAGAGGAAAATTATCTCTGCCTGACCCAAACAAAGTCTTGTTATCCAATCTGACGCCATAAGCAGCCTTGGAGTTGTGTGCAAAAACCCCCACGATGGAAGGAATGCAGACAAATGCTGTGAAAACCCTACCTACCCCCCCCCCCCGCCTTCAGATTATGGTCTCCGCACCAAGGTCATCAAGTTGGAGGCACTCACTGTGCTCTGTGCTTTCCCGTGACCTCCCTCCCACCTGTGGATTCAGTTGGCCGAGCGCCACACAGGCTGCTCCCGCTGAGGAAACCAGGGTCCCAGACCCTCCCCCCTACCTACCGGGTCTCATGTTGTGAACTGTGACGTTCATGCTTGTATGTTGGGTGTTTTTTTGCATAGTAGAGCTACACCCTGCCGGCTGTTAATGCCTTTTTCTCCCTCCCCGAACTCTCCTCATGTAATCCCCTCTTCATCTACTGAAATGAGCGCCGTTATGGCTGCTCTCGCGGTCTGCCTGTATCTGTCCTGTCTATATGTGTGTGTCTAATCTTGGTCAGGCTGTACTGTGGAGTCAAGTTCCTATGCTCTGGATCGCTGGCGCGCTGGCAATAAAATTATTTCTGATTCTGATTTTGATTCTCGGAGAGAGACCAACTCTTGTCTGCCCCTCAACCCAAATCCTCAGATCACGCATTTTAGCTAAAACGTTAACGTTAGCTTGCCTTGCGTTGACTGTAGAGTTGTGGGTGATGGTCACGCAGATGTGTCATGAGATTTGAAGTGTTGCTGCCTTTCACAGACACTTTTTCTGCACGTGCTGCAAACAGGCTAGCCGTCTTCTATCAACTGTCCCTCGGCATTCTTCAAATATAAAAAAGATGCCCGTACTTCCCACTTTGTCTTCTTTGAGGGATAATAAATGCCCTGAGCGCTGCCGTCTCCTCCTTTGGCCATTATTTCAGCTTTAGCTTCAAGAAAGTTTTGGTTGTAAACAACAAAGTGCGCATGTGCTGCCGGCAACTTCAGCAGATGATACGGTGGCTGGTAAGGGTCACCGCGCCTACACCGCAGCCACGCTAATCCACCAAGATAATATATTTTTTAAAAAGCAAGACGGTTATTATTATTGTCAACTTTTTTTCCGGGGTTTACCGCTACACTGGTTACCATGACAACCCTAGTGGGGAAAACCAGTCTTTTCATTATGGGGTTGTGCTTGGTCTTTTATCAAGGCTCCTGGGTTGTTGTGAGACCCAACAAAGTTTCATGGATTATATTGCGTACAGTACAGTTGATGAGGCAGTTCTGCACCGCAATCATCTAGTCCATCCTCACCTCTTCCATCACCGTGTGGTATGCTGGAGCTACCACCCAGGACATGAAGAGACTGCAGCATGTTGTACACTCTGCTGAGAAGATCATTGGCTGCAAACTTCCCTCTATACAGGACCTGTACACCTCCAGGACATTGGGGCATGCAGGTCGGATCACAGCTGACCCTTCTCACCCTGGACAAAGTTTATTTCGACTTGCTCCCATTTGGCAGGAGGCTCAAATCCGTTAGAACCTCTCACCACATGGACAGTTACTTCCCCTCTGCAAGTGGACTCATGAATGACCTGGACCTTCTCACCCCAGAAGCCTTGTTCCAGTCACCTGACCCTGTGTTATGTTTGCACCTGAACTGTTCAGCTCTGATCAGTACCTACATTATCTTGTTAGTCGTTTCTTAATTAATGTTTCTCTATAAATTATTTTATTGTGCTTATTTCTTGTTTTTGCACCAAGTACCGCAGCAATTTCCTAATGTTGAGACCCTGCTCACGCGTATGTTAATAAAACTTCTCATTCTGACGGAGGCTCTAAGGACATTTTCCACTTGTAAAAACAAAACGGTTTTTCTAGGATGCCTTTTAATTCCAACTTGATGTTCTTTTCCAAAGTTAAGCCATTAGTCTCTCTTTCTTTAGAAAACTGATGACTCTTTATTTCAATATTTATATGCAAGCCTGGGAATTGATGTTCAACTATAAACTGTTAAACTCTAACAAACAAGACCAAACACGGGTTTAGGGTAAACGTTGGCTGAAGGGTTAAATAGGAGATTAAAAGTAGACAACGATTCTGACCTCCAGATTTTTGAGCTTGTTGATGTCAATGCTGAGGTAGGCTGTGATGCCCTTCATGGAGCCTTTCAGAGTTGCGCCTCGGATAAGCAAAACAAACAGGACAATGTAGGGCATAGTAGCTGTTATGTACACCACCTACAAACACACAAGAGCAACAACAAATTACTATAAAATCACATCGCCCACTTTCCTGAGCTATTCTCCTGCAAAACTGACAGATTGTAGTTGAAATAGCAAAATAAATTATTATTGAGGTGCACATGTAGCTGACATTATTGCAATAATGTCATAATTGTATACTAAAACAGTGGTTTCCAGCCGTTTTGAGTTTTGCCATGATGAGAACCAGAAGACTCTCCATCCATCTGTTTTCTTCCACTTATCCGGAGTTCGGTGACGGGGGCAGCAGCCTAAGCAGAGAGGCCCAGACTTCCCTCTCCCCAGCCACTTGGGCCCGCTCCTCTGGGGGAATCCCAAGGCGTTCCCTGGACAGCCGAGAGAGATAGTCCCTCCAGCGTGTCCTGGGTCTTCCTTAAGGTCTTCTCCAGTTGAATGTGCCCGGAAAACCTCACCAGGGAGGCGGCAGGAGGCATCCAAATCAGATACCTGAGTAACTTATATTTACAATCTCATTCTTCCGGTCACTACACAAAGCTTGTGACCATAGATGAGGGTAGGAACATAGATCGACCGGTAAAGTGAGAGAACCACGTTTGGTCAGTCTGGATGCAGCCAGCTAAAACCTTTTTGTCTTTGTTATGCTGTTTGTTTGTTCTTTCTTTTATTCTAAATCTGCTTGAAGAGAAAGGTAAAGTTAATTATAACCAAGGTATACCTTAATTTACAAATGGAAATGTAACATTTGCTACTCATTTAAGAATTACGTGTAAATGTCAGCAAAACAGAAATGAATTTCCTCCTGAAATTAGTTGCAAATTGCTTTGTAGAGACATGCACAGGCACTGGACTGTTTCATTTGCCTCGCAGCTCTCTGTTTTTACGTTTTCTTTTTGTTCTTGCACACAAAACTTGATTCAGGACGTGCATCCGGTCTGTATGAAAAGTTATGTTGCACGAGTGGATTGTTGTTGGCTGTGTCTGTACCTTCCCTGAAGATTTGACTCCTTTCCACAGGCTGAAGTAGAGGATGATAACCACCGCAAGCAAGCACAGCGTTAGGTCCCAGCGAGGGGGGCCCAGGTCATGGATTCCCCCACTTTCATGGAGATGTAGTACACGTCGTCTGGGAAAAAAAAGAAGAAAAAGGTCAAATAAAAAAACAATGTTTACTTTTTTAACTTTAGAAATAATCCCACTTTTGACTCTTGTTGGTTATTCCTTCTTCCTTCTGGCTAAAATAGTGTTTTATTGGTTCATTATTACTTGATTTGATCATTTTCTTTTCACTGAAAATTTTAGACTTCTGTGAGAGGAAGGTTAAATGTTGGGTAAAACTGGTGATACAGTGATCCCTCGCTACTTCGCGGTTCGTTTATCGCGGATTCACGACTTCGCGGATTTTTTCTTTGGAGCCTTATCCAAGGGAAATTTGCCAATTCGCAGTATTTTTCTATGCGAAATATCAAGAAATTCCTGTTTTTTTTTTCATCAATTTCATCATAAAATGCACTTTTTGTAATAAAACTATAAAAAAAACCAAGTAAAAATTTTTTCTATGTAAAGGGAGGGTTTTAAAAGTCTGAATACTGAATACGTACCTGTTAAATAAATACTGTAAATATAGTGTCCCTACTTCGCGGATTTTCACCTATCGCGGCCAGGTCTGGAACGCATCTACCGCGATAAACGAGGGATCACCTGTATACAATTTATTTTTGCACAAATTCTGTGTAAAATTAGAGTTTTAGAGTCCCAACTCCCCACTAACTGAAGCACTGACATTTAATATATAACAGCTGCAGCACAAGTTCTACATCCCACCCTGGTCCTTGTAAACAAATAGATGTTCACCTCTGCAGTGTGGTCAGTGTCTCCCCTTAGGGTGGGTCCTCTGAATTCAATTCAAGTTTATTTAAAAAGCACCAAAATCACGACAAGAGTACAAGGACCTGCACACAGCAAACGTCCCCGTACAGGTCAGGTCATTAAGCCAATCAGTAAAAAGTTTCCTATATTAGGAACCCAGCAGGTTGCATCGAGTCACTGACTAGTGTCAGAGTCTTTACAGCAATCCTCATACTAAGCAAGCATGCAGCGACAGTGGAGAGGAAAACTCCCTTTTAACAGGAAGAAATCTCCAGAGAATCCAGGCTCAGTATAAGCAGCCATCCTCCACGACTCACTGGTGATCGAGAAGACACACACACACACACACACACACACACACACACACACACACACACACACACACACACACACACACACACACACACACACACTCCAAGTGGTGTTTCTATGGTTACATTGTGATTTCTTAGGAAATATTCTATTTAGTGAGAGATAAACTTTATTGTATTTATCCTGGTGAATCTATAATTAATTCAACAGGTACACTAGTAGTAGCACAGGTGAACAGGTGTGACCACAGTAACCTCGTTAAAGAACCATCCTGAGACCTGTTAGGAGGTGATCCACAAACAAACCTTACCTGGTCTGTAGAGACACACTGAGTTTTATTTGCAGTATTTTCTGTGTGTGAAAGGAAACTAACCCAAGAAGGAGACCAACTAGAAAATTATGAACTGATTCAGACCAATAAAAAAAATGCACAAGTTAACTAGTTTCAGTTAACTAAACATTTAATTTAAAAACAAAATGGGGGATCAGTATCTTTAGTGCCACAGAGTTCAGAGTAGTTATTGCATATACAATAGCCAACGCATCAAAAGGCAATATGGGGTTATATGTCATCCATTACTTCCAGCTTTCGATCAAGTGATCCGGTCCACTCTTTTGATTTGTATTCCTTTTAAAATTTCATAAAAGTGCTGTATGTGTTGAGTAATAAAAACTGAGAGGCAGAGGTGTATCACATGTGGTTGGAGCAGGGCAAGAATCCCACACCAGCAAGTCTGGAGACAACCTGCGCCATCCTGTATGTCCCTAGACAGCTACCATGTTTCAAGATGGCATATGACTGTGGAGGGTAGGGCTGGGCAATAAATCGAACATTTATCATTATCAAAATTTCTGACTCCATCATTTTTCCCATGTCCATAAATTAGCTTATTAAAAAAATGTAAACATGCGTGTAGGTTGGCAATGTTCATGTCCCTTTTAACTCGTTCACTGCCAATGACGACTAAAGTCGTCATTTGCATGTTTTTACTGTGTGGGCGTCGGACGAGCCCCCGCACCGTGAGAACAAACATCTCACCTCTAACGACGATCTTCATCCGCGTACGTCACACGTCACGTGATCAGGAAGCAGAACATCCATGTGTTAGGAGATCGTTTTGGGCCGCTGCTGTAAAATAAGTGAGGAGCGAACCGGAAAAGCGTCTGCCGATCACAATTCAACAACGGATTATGAAAGAACGGATGACGCTCGGAACACGCGGATTCTTCCTGATGTAAGAGGTGAGTCTCCGCTTTGTTTTGGTTGTTTTGGTGTCGACATCATCCTAGCGTGCAACGTTCTGTGACTCTTAAAAAAACTGTGAAAATTCTGAGATACGTTGGCAGCGAAGGGCTTTACTGATCAGGAAACGACTGGCAGTGAATGAGTTAAGAAGCTGTACCACCTCAAGTCACATGACAAAAGTGACTCAACGTAATACAAGCAAGAGCTCCATCTAGTGGACACCTTTTGTTTTAGCGCACACATGTAGTTATCGTCCATTTATCGTCCTCTGGGTGAAATCCTCAATATATTGCAATACTGATTTTAGATAATATTGCCCAGCCATAATGGAGGGTCGACCACAGTTTATGTATAAGAAATGCAAAGTTTAAGGATAATAGGAGTAAGTAGAATAGACTTGGGCATGAAGCATCCATGGAAAAAAGCACGTTTGTGATCGGGACAACAGCAGGAAGCTGTTATGTCCCGTTACCCTGGAAGTCTCTCATAAAGTCATGTGTCCTTAAAAAACCTCAAATGGTGTGACTTCATTTGTTATGACACCTGTTACTCAAACTAAAAGTATGTTATTTTTATCTCCTACTTAAAATTAGGTGGATGTGCAGCTGAGAATGTTTAGAGCAGGTGTAAAAACAGAGAGTTTACAGACACGTGGTTTTAAAGCTGTTCAGTCTCATTTACAGCTGATAATAATAAAAGAATTATAAAAAATGTAGCTGTTTTTTTAGTTAATTTGTTAATTTTGTGGCAGTGTCTGGCTGAATTCAACGATTTTATAGGGGATAGAACACCCAAAAACTGTTTTAAATATATATTCAAGTTGGAGTTACTAAGGAGGGAAAACTTCTTACAGATCAACATAAACTGAACTGAAGGTGTAGCTTGTAAACTTAAACCACGGCAAAAACATTGCAAGAATGAAATTTTTACTTTTTGTTTTTCTGCAAAGCTAACCCTAACCCTAACCCTAACCCATCAACTCCAACAACAGAATCACCGAGTGTCTAAAAATCAGGATGTTTCAGGCTGTAAGATGGTTTTTGTTGGGTTGTAAAATCCTGCAGCAGAACATTAAAGAACTTTTGTCCTTCTTAGATTTGGCTCTGAGACTTTTTACAAGAAAGGTTCAGTTTAGTTGGCATGTGATGTTATGGCCTGATGAGCGCTGGAACTGGACTTGGATTAAAACCTCAGGATGCTTGTGCAGCAGCTGTAGGAAAAAAGCCTCTGAAACCTGCAAAGTGACCTTTTTGGAATGTGGAGGAACTGTGAGTTATATTTGACTGGATTTAAATTTAAAGTTGACTTGAGCGCGAGGAGGGCGGTGACTAAGTGAAGACCTTGGTTTATTTGGTGGAAGACGTTTACAGACTGCGTTGTGATCGGTAGGCCTTGTGTTGGTGTAGTTGGAATACCCAGAGGCCGTCTTGCTCATTCGGTAGAATTGAAAAAGCTCTTCCAGTAAAACACGCCATCAGCCCTCAGGTCCCTTTAGCCCCACTATCCTGAGCACATTTGAAGAGTTTGAGCTGTTGTCTCTCTCTGACCTCTCAAAGGTGGTTCACCAGTCAAGACCTTCCTGCAGTCCACTGGATAGTATCCACCCATCACTTTTAAAAAAGGGTTTTTTCCACAATCGGGTCCATTATTTTACTTATTATAAAAACGTGTTTATCTGCTGGTCATGTCCCTGCCACCTTTAAACGTGCTGTTATTCAGCCGCTCTTAAAGAAACCTAATCTCGATGGTGCTCTCCAACTACAGGCCTATCTCCAAGCTCCCTTTCCTTTCTAACGTCATGGAGAAAACTGTCTACAGGCAGCTGCAGGACTGCCTCGACCATTGGGGTATTTTAGAGAAGTTTCAATCGGGTTTTAAACAATACCGCAGTACGGAGACTGCTCTTTTAAGAATGTTTAACGGTATATTTTTAACTATCGATTCCGGTCAATCAGCTGTATTGATCCTTTTAGACCTAACGGCGGCCTTTGATACGGTGGACCATCAGATCCTTTTATCCCGCCTAGAGCGTGACGTTAGCCTACCTGTCAGGCAGGACTTTTAAAGTAAATATGGGGCAGTGTTGTTCGTCTCCAGCGAAACTTAGTTGTGGTGTCCCTCAAGGTTCAGTTTTGGGCCCACTCTTGTTCTCGTTGTATATGTTGCCTCTTGGCGCCATCTTTCATAAGCATGACATCTCGTATCACTTCTTTGCAGATGATGTGCAGATATATGTCCCACTACATTCTCGAAGGCCATCGTTTGACAAATTACTGAATTGTCTAAAATATGTTAAAAATTGGCTACAATTGAACCTTCTCACTTTAAATGACAAAAAGACGGAAATTGACGTTTTTGGGGACCTGGGCCGTTGCACGGGGTAAACAGTGTATTTGGCCCTTTAGAATGCTTTTGCATGTCTCAGGAAAGAAATCTGGGTTTTTTCATTGATGGCCATTTTAAACTTGATAAACAGATAAGTTCTGTTGTACAGAGTGTGTTCTTTCATTTGAGTGTTCTTAGTAAAGTCAAGTCCTATTTACCAACTAAAGACTTTGAAAAGATTATACACCTGCGAATCATGTCGAGATTAGACTACTGCAACTCTCTTTATCATGGACTGGAGCAGTCGTCAATTCACCGCTTGCAGGTGGCTCAGAATGCGGCAGCTCGCTTGCTGACAGGTAGGAGGCGCAGGG